CAAGCTTTTGGCTCACAGCCCCATACCTATTTCACTAGCTCAAATTCCTTCCTACTAGATCATGCAGCTCTCATTAAATTAGTCCCTTTAATCTGCTAAATCTGTGTTTTCAATCTGTTAAGAATGCATCCCTAGAGACTTTTATTGGAGCCCCTTAACATAAAATATGACAAACATGCAAAATAACTAATGTAAATGGGATATTTACTTTACAAACATTTTACCACTAATATTAAAGGAGAGACCTCGATAGTTATCAATGGTAGTAACATTACTTCATTAAAAGACTCAATGGTTTCTTTTTCAGGTCCTAAGGAAACCACAGCAGTACTATTAATACTGCATTTGCCACTATAATTGTACTTCTGACATATTCAGAGTAGCCCCATGAAGGAAAGACCCATATATTTTGGCAATAAAAATATAATTATAGTTCTTGAGGATGTTTTCAGTGTTCTTATTACCCCCTTATAGCAGAAGAATCCATTGAAGGATTTTCTCTTTGGCAAAGGAGGAATTACACTGGTGTGTACTAGAATTTCCAACAATATACATAGATTTGCACAAGATCATGCACCTCTCTTCTGATTGCAAGGCCCATGAGGGTTGCAGGATGTCCCTGACAAACCAGCAGAATGTCCTTGTGACAGCCAAAGTAAACACAATTCTTTGATCTGCAGCTGCAGGGCCCTGAAATTATGTATTTGCAGCCATTTTAAGTGTTCATTATGAAGGCTAGATTTGCACAGCAAATTGACCTCTCATCTGTGCCGATCACTTTGATCAAGAACATAATGTTTTTGCTATTTTTGACCCTCTAACCATACAGGGTAAGACAAGCACTTGAAAATAAAAGTCAGAGTGGCTGAAATACAAGCAAACTGTCCTGAGTTACTGCCTGTTAGTAAGCCGTAAGTGTTAGTCTTTGCTCATGGGAAAAGTGAGTGGCAGAAGAAGACAGGACTTCAGTGCATATATCCTGTTGCTTATTGAATGACTGCATTCACCTTGCTGCAGCTGGCATAAATCAAACCAAATCGAGCTGGGAGATGGTTCAATCCATTGGCATTAGGAGGCTGCCAAACCACCTTGGGAGTTTGGTTGGGCAGAGTGGGGGCTACTCTTTTCCGGAGGTTGCTTGATGATGCCTTTTCAATGGCCTGGTATGTTGTATCATCATGTTGTGACATGACAGGGCAAATGTCATTCTGTGCTATCAGCTCAAGGAAGGCCCTGTTCCCAAGAAGCCCATCCCCACAAGCAATACAATGCTGTCTGCATAAGCTTACAACGAGGTGAGGGGGAGAGGGCTGTTCCATGAGCGCATCCTTACAACATGGGGAAAATAAGGTTGTCAGCTTCCCTGCTGCTGACTCTGAAGACCTTGCACTGTGGAGGGCTGGGAGCAAAGAGCTGGCCTGGTGGACAGCTGCCAGCCAGGAAGGGCTCAATCATCCCCATGCCCTGCCTTGGAGCAGAACATAAGGCTAAATTAGGTTGCTGTGAATTCCTGTAATTGTAATCAGGAATGTAGGCCAAACTCAACACTTCATTTCAGAATCACTGTGATTCCTAATGGTAGGTCAGTGATATCTGTCCAATGCTTTCTCTAGTAGGGAAAATCAAATTTGAAGAATAACTTTACCCCCGACAAGTCTTCTTGCTATATTTGTTACTACTGTGGGTTTCTTGCAGAATTCTGATCGACAACCTGAAGACAGTTCTTGATGCTCAGTTTGACAGCAAAGTTCGTACTGCTGGACACAGTTATGTAAAATACAACGACTGGGACACGGTAAAGTCTATAAATGTTACACTCTCCATTCACTAAATGCTTTGGAACTGGGGTTAGAGATGTCATTAAACTTAACAATTGTATTATATAGATCACTGCTTGGACGGCTGACATTGCTGCTCAGAACGCAAAACTTGTCTCTCGCACTCAGATTGGGACTACATTTCAAGGGCGGCCCATGTACCTCCTCAAGGTAATTGTCCTTAATTTCTTTTTACCAGTCTGGTCTCTTCTTGTAACATGAATATAATTACAATATTTATTAAGTCATCACTAACTCTGGCATGTATTATAAATCCTCTAGGAAATCAAAACACATTTTGAGAGCTACTTCTATTGTGATTTTTTTTATCCTTTTGATTTAAGGTAAAGAGTTGAGAGAGTGAAACCCATAATAAATATTTTGGAAGTTCAGAGCTATAAATTTAACCACATTCCTGTGAGCATTGTAAATGATAATCTACCTTTATGTAATTGTTCACGCCATCTGTTGTTTGTAAACCCACTTACTATAAAGGGATCTATAAATGTCAGCCTATCTCGCAATTGAAAACAATTTGTCTATCTTCTTCAGACATAATTTTCTATCCCATAACTCTTATGAATAAATAAGATATGAAGAAATAAACAGGGGAGGGGAGAAACAGATTATTTATCCAAAACAGCACTAGCATTCACCAGAATTTATATAACCAACCTGGTCTTTTCAACTAATAACACTACACTATGAAATCTACCAATAATGTGTAGTAATGAAATAATCTGGGAAAATATGGGCTTGTCTACATTTAAACAAAATAAAGGAAATACTATTTTAACTTGAACAGCTTGATTGTCCAGAGAGGCAAGGCAAGAATATACTCACCTAGTATTAGGTTTCCAATTTAATCAAGGAATATATCTCATGCTGTTGTTAAGTTTCACCTTTAGAGTCACTAGTCTGGAGATAGAATATTAGTAATTTGTACATCAAATAGATTGTATTTCATCATATTTTATTTACTATAGGTGGGGAAAAGTGGTTCAAACAAAAAGGCCATCTTTATGGATTGTGGTTTCCATGCTAGAGAGTGGATCTCCCCTGCATTCTGCCAGTGGTTTGTGAAAGAGGTTGGTATATCCAGTAACTAAGAAAGGTTTTCACAAAACAGATCAACTGTAGTAGAACATGACAAAGAGTATAACAAATGTGAAACAAATACAATAATAAGATCTCCTGTTTGTCAGTCCTTGGTAGTTTCTAGTCTAGAACTTTCTAATTTTATTCTCTGATTTTGCATTTGGGTTGGAATAATACAATTTGGGGTCCTTTTTCCTCTTGAAGTGAAGCATATACATATTGTGGGACAGATCCTTGCCCTTGCCTCAGTGCTTTACCTCAGAGACCTACTAACCATAACCTGCTTTGGAGCACTGTTTACTAGTCAACAAATTACACTGCCTGATTCTCAATTGCTTTGCATCCTCTGTGGTCATTCATATGTGTGCAAAGTGAAGGAACCTTGGGTGCAATACACTACGGCTGTGTCTACATTGGCAAGATTTAGCGCAAAAGCGGCCGCCTGTCTACACTGGCCACGAGTATTTGCGCAAGAACACTGACGTTCTACTGTATGAAATCAGTGCTTCTTGCGCATATAATCTGACGCTCCTGCTCAGGGATAAGTCCTCTTGCGCAAGTGTTCTTGTGCAAGAGGCCAGTGTAGACAGGTAACATCAATTTCTTGCGCAAGAAAGCCCAATGGCTAAAATGGATGCTTTTGCGCAAAAGCAAATCTTTTGTGCAAAAGCACATGCCAGTATAGATGCTCTCTTACTCAAATACTCTAACACAAAAACTCTTGCGTTTAGAGTATTTGCGCTAAATCTTGCCAGTCTAGATGTAGCCTACCAGATCAGAATGGTAGCTTTTCTATGCCCCTTTTACACTCACTTTATACAGGTGTAGATATGTAAATGATCACACAAAACAATAGAGAATCAAGCCCCGAGTGCTGGAGTTTTCATGATGCCTGTGTGATAAGGGAAGGAGTGGGGAAATTTGTCTCCATAGATCATTTAATGTTGTATTATCTTTTGTGATGAGAGTTTCCTAGAGTCAGAAGTGTATCTATTGTCCTGAATGTCTCAGAAGGATCCTCTCTGTGCAAATTCTGTGTTTGAAATGGGATTGAGACATATTTTCTCAAATACAAATAAAAAGTTTTAAGAAGGTAGACTACAGGGAGGCAAGAGCCCTTATAGAATATGCGGTCTGGAGCATTGAATCCCTCTAAATAAGATTTTTTTTGGAGTGCTCTAAGTCTACTCACTTGCATGCTGATTTGGTGCATTGCTCGCGATCAGTGCTTATTCATCTGTGCAATTTTAAGTTAGAAAATTAATGCTTTTTTACAACAGTAGTGTGGTTCTAAATGATATAACCTGGGATTTATTCCTTGTTCTTTCCAGTACTTAAAAATATCTCAAAGCTTTAGCCTGTCTCAGATGTCAAACTGTGGAGTGTATAGTACTAAACTATTATTAATTCTAGGGTGCTTGGGCCAGGACCCAAGCCTACTGAAGTCAGTGGAAAGACTCCCATTGACTTCAGTGGCTTTTAGATATGACCCTTAATGAAGAATGCTACCTCAGAACAACATATTTGCAGTTTTGGATTTAAATTGGTGGATTGCTTTTACACACAGAGCCTTTTGAATAACTTCCTGAATATCAGATTAAAAGATTATGCATCAGTTGCAAAAGACAACACACGCTTTACTTTTTAAAATACATTTCAGAGCACCCAGCAATTACTGATTCAATGAAAACAGCAGCTCTCTTTTCACCTATATCTAGGCTGTTAGCACTTATGGAAGTGATACTGTTATGACACACCTTCTTGACAACGTGGATTTCTACATCCTGCCTGTCCTTAATATTGATGGCTATGTCTACACCTGGACCAATGTATGTATACTCCTCTTTCTGAAAAAGAATGTAATTAAACTGGTAAGTACTGTAACGATCCTACAGTATTTACATGCACTTTCTATTTCAGTATCGCATGTGGAGGAAGACACGTTCCACAAATGCTGGCAGCAGCTGCATTGGTACTGACCCCAACAGGAATTTTAATGCTGGGTGGTGCAGTAAGTATTGCCTAATATTTGATGAAAGTGAACATTGAAAGGTGCAGCATATAACATATCAAAAGGCTACTTACACAGAGATGGAATATCCTCGCTCCTTGAGTTGGTCCTTCCAGCTATGGAGCAATCATCAGCAACAACACTCCTTAGGGAAGCTTATGTTGTTGTTGTTGTGCATGCCACATCTGTCCCTTTGGGTGAACAGAAGTCTTCTATCAGTAGGGCCATCAGTCTGGAAATTTCTATAGGCACTGAAATGATACAGGGGGAAGCATTGCACTATATATAATGCAAAAAAATGAAAGCTACAGACTTCCACTCGAATGCCCTGTGATATGTAGCAGACATTCAAGGAAAGGTCTCTAAAAAAGCACTGCAGGTCAACAGAATTGTTCACCCCTCATATGAATTCATTTACCCAATAGGATGACTTACTTCGGTAATGTATAAAATGTTCTTATTCCTCCAAATATAGTACCTGTGAAAAAAATATTTTGGCAAAATGCTTTGCTATATTGTCTAAAAGGGTGTGAGCACATAATAAATATTCTGTCTCTGTATATCATATATGCTCAAGGGCAGTGTTTCTCCAGTGGTACAAGTACCCTTAGAGGTACTCGAGAGAAGTCTGGAGGGTACGTCAACACAACTGAAATTTGGAGAAAACTGAATTTTTTATTTAAGTTTTACAGCACTTTATTATTTTTGTACTTTTAACACCCAAAAATTTCATCACCCACCCAACTACGATTAAGTTGTTTAAACAAATGTGTTTCAATGGAAGAAAAATGTTGTGTGTCTGAAAACTGTAGGTACTGGGGGGGACTTATAATTTTTTTTTAATAAAGGGGAACTTCATTTAAAAAAAGGTTGAGAAACACTGCTCCAGGGGACTAACTTAAGGTTGCCTAAAAAGTCTTAACTTTTATGGTCCATTGACATAATTCTGTTTCATTACATATAAGCATTCGCCCCTCCCCACAGGTGTTGGTGCCTCAAGAAAACCATGTGATGACACTTACTGTGGAAGTGCCCCTGAGTCTGAAAAGGAGACCAAGGCACTGGCTGATTTTATCCGTAGAAATCTCTCCACTATCAAGGCATACTTGACCATTCACTCCTATTCCCAGATGCTGCTGTTTCCTTACTCTTATACTTACTCCCTTGTAAAGAACCATGCAGAGTTGGTAAGTAGAACACAAATACTGTAACACTTTGTAATTTTGGTGAAATAGGGAGAATATGCACATTTCTTCACTTGCTATTTAGATCAGGTTAATTTCAGAAATTTTCTTACATATTCTAGGAAAAAAACTGGACAATCAGCTTTCAAAAGTAAATTAGTTTTTTATAGCAAAAGAATTTGAAGAGCATTGAGGTATAAGTTTAACTCAAGAATCCCTGATTCATCTCCATCATACACAAGTTGGATTTGTCTGCAAGAATGTGTTTGTCTGCAAATAATGTCATATAGAGATGTAAATTATATCACATTGCTTCCACTTTATTCAATGGGTTACAGTGTATCTGGCTGCAATACATTTCAAACAAACTTCATGCTCAGTTGGCCAGATCCACAGCTTGTGTAAGTTGGCATAGCTCCATAGCTTTAATGGAGCTAGAATGATTCAAACCAGCTGTGGATCTGCCTTAAAATATCATTATTTAATGAAGTTTAGAGCCGCACCCAACTTCTAGAGATTTTTAAGTCTGATAAAGGCAATTTAGCAAGTGAATTATTTATCTTTTTTTAAAAAGGCTGAACATGTAAAAGTTGTAAGATTTCAAAAATATATAATAAAAATAATAAAATGACTTCAATTCTCTAGAATATTAGCAATTAAAAGTTGCCATGAAAAACATCACAACAAACAAAACGAAAAAAATCCATTTTGACCCTTTCTCTTCCCGTTAAGCTGCCAGAAATCTAAGGCAATGGCATTACGCTGGCTTTACTGTTGCAGAGCTTTGACACATTTGTAAGGGCTCCCACAATGTTCTATCTTAATTCTGAAGCAGAAAGGAAGAGTATGCCTAACTTAATAGTTTTGCTTTGCACTTCTGGAGGCTTACTTGAAAAGGGGAGCATTAAGAGATGGTTTGAGGTTTGTTTGTTATAATATTTTACATGTCAGAATTTTAACTGTAAATATTCCAGTAATTTCTTCCATCTTTTTTATTTGTCTTTGATTTTTACTGAATGTTTTGAATTTTAAATTTCACACATGAGAGCTCAGTCTAATTAAATAATATAAACTCCTGAACTGCTTCTTTGTCTTGCTCACAGTTTTCTCCATATGCCAGAAGTTTGCATGATCTTCTGCCCAGTTTGCTGAGTCAAGCCCAAGTGTGATGAAGCATATTGCTTCAAGTGCAGCATGTTTCTCACATCATTACATTCAGATGGGAAAAAGTTATATTGACACTCAGACACAAAAAGTACAGTAAAACCCAACTTTAAAAATACACAAAATTAACACTAAGGCAGTGTCAATGTATCTTTTTTCGTTTTTCTTTTCTTTTTAAAAAATCCTGGGTGAACAATTTTCATATTCACTGTTCTGTCTTATGCTTTATTGACTAGAAGAATATCAAATATTGAAGAGCAGCTAAAATCATCCATGCTAAGGTCTTGCAATTTTATAAATAAATAAAAAAGCCCATTCCCCTTCCTTTCCTCCCCCACCCCTCTACTTCCTGTCCATCTACCCTCCTTTTGGTTTAGAGATTGAATCTTCCATTCCCTCCCCCGCCCCTCTACTCCCTGTCCATCCACCCTCCTTTTGGTTTAGAGATTGAATCTTCCATTTTTCAGTATTAAAAAATGTAATTCAGGAAGGCAAGAGATATGTGTCAATAAACATCCATTTGATTTCACTTCATATAAGTTAATCTTTCCATTGTAATTTTATCCCATATTTTAAATCAGCCTCAATGTTCTCAGGGGGAAGTTTTATTATTTTTTCTACAAAGGAGCACAGCCTATCACTACTAGAAGGCTGTGATCCGATCAACTGTTCTAATTCCAAAATGTATTTCCTTAGTTAGAACTCCCAACAAAAAACAGCAGGGTCCCAGAGATGCTAACTTGTACTAATATTTGGTTTTACAAAAGAAGGATACTTTCAGCCAAAATCCTTGGCTTTTGCTAATGAGATCACCGTGTAAACCAATCAGCACTGTCTGTAACTGGTAACCGTGTTAGTCTGAATCTGCATAAACAACGAGAAGTCCTGGAGTACCATAGGGTATGTCTACACTACCCTCCTAGTTCGAACTAGGAGGGTAGTGTAGACATACCCTATGTTACAAAAGAAGGATACTTTCAGCCAAAATCCTTGGCTTTTGCTAATGAGATCACCGTGTAAACCAATCAGCACTGTCTGTAACTGGTAACCGTGTTAGTCTGAATCTGCATAAACAACGAGAAGTCCTGGAGTACCATAGGGTATGTCTACACTACCCTCCTAGTTCGAACTAGGAGGGTAGTGTAGACATACCCTATGTGCAAATGAAGCCCGGGATTTGAATTTAAAAGTATCACAGCACACTAGTACTGGCGGTATGCCTACATTACCCCGCTAGTTCGAACTAGCGGGGTAGTGTAGACATACCCATATAGACTAACAGATTTATTGAAGTATAAGATTTCATAGGCAAAGACCCACTTCATCAGATGAAGTGGGTCTTTGCCCACAAAAGCTTATGCTTCAATAAATCTGTTAGTCTATAAAGTGACATAGGACTTCTTGTGTCTAACTGGAATATTTAAATGTAAAGGGCCTGATCCAAAGCCCATTAAAATAAATTAAAAGACTACCATGAACTTGAATGGGATTTGGGTAGGTTCTAATGGTGTAGCTTTCTGATGACTAAGTATGTCCACGTGAACAGTCACAAAGAAATTAGGTTTTTCACTTAGCAATTCCTCCTTGGTTAAAAAAAATCAGACAGAGAAAAAAAGGAGGAGAAATAAAGGGCATTATACTAAATACCATGTAATGTGTCTCATATCAGCAAACTTTTGCCTAGATACAGAATTCAGAGAGAGGCTGAAGAATTGTCATCAGAAGCTTTATATAAATTGTTCTGGCAAATAAAGTGACTATAAATCATGCTCTAAATGAAGAAGTAAAATTTAGAACTATTATCTTATCTTAGATGTTTATTCTTACTCTGGCAGATCTAATACATTAAAGGAAGTATAGTTGCTATTTCTTATCTTTTTCTGAGTGGGATGAAATATGTAGTTAAACAACAAAACCTCGCATGGCTGCTTATCATTATTAACATATTGCTCCACACTGTTTAATTCAACAGTGTGGGGCTAATGCTCCATTATAAAGTGAAACATGAAGGAAGGGAGCAAAATCAAGTAAAATGTTATTGAAATCACCCTAATCCTGCAGAAGAGGGGAACAGAGGCACCAAAATAGCCTCTTCCTCCTTTCTTCCAAGCCCACTGACCTTTCCTTTAGGCACAGTCTGCCATGGGGCTCTGCAGGTATTCAGAAAGAACAGTGGGTTAGGAGGTGATGCTGGAAAGCAGTCACTCTATGCAGCATTCTTCTATTAGAACCAGATGCAGAGCAAATATCCACATGGTTGCTAATTACACTAATGTCACTCCATGTCTTCATTGCCCCTGGAAGAGGAGTGTAGAGAACAGGCTGATGGACAGTAGAAACTGACAGCATCACTCTTCATTGAGTTTTGCTTCCAAATGGGATTGAGGCAACAGGGAGCAGATCCCAAGATCAACAGTGGTGGAGATGGTTTTGCCCCAATATCTTCTGGATGGTTTTCAGGCCATGCTCCCTGTCCCTTCATAAAGCCTTTAAAAGGAGAATGAGCTGCAACTTCATGGGCCAGATCCGTAGACCTATTCTTGTGCTGCCAGGATAGTTGCAGAGAAAGAAGGACAATCTGCTAATCTAAAGAGCCAGGTGGAATTTCCTCTTGTTAGGTAATCCCTAATGGCACGTCTCCACTGCACAGCTATTTCAGGATGCTGAAGGTATCCCGAAACAGCTACCTTATGTCTTAACAAGCCGCCCATTATTTTGAAATATTTTTTGAAATAATGGGCACACTATTTCAGCATCCCTATAACCATCATTCCATTAGGGTTAAGGGATGTCTCAAAATAGCATGTTATTTCAAAATTTGGCACTATGTAGACCCGCCAAATTTAAAAATAAGCTATTTTGCAATAGAATCAAAATAAGATATGCAATTTACATAAAGCAAA